ATAGTTTCTAGGTCCTCACCTGCTATAACCTTCTTGCCATTAGTTTTAGGCATGTTACTTGTGTCTTCCACTAAATAACTGTTTAATGTCTCGGCTATTTCCTCATTCCCAGTTATTAAATTGGCCTTCTCATCCCCTAAAGGACCAATGTTTACCTTCGCCACTCTTTTACGATTTACATATTTATAGAAACTTTTGCTGCCTGTTTTTATATTCTGAGCTTGTTTACTCTCATAGTCTATCTCACTTTTCTTTATAACTTTTTTGTGGCTTTCTATTGGCCTTTAAAGATTTCCCAGTCTACTAGTTTCCCACTACTGTTTGCTTTTTTGTATGTGTGTTTTTTCAATCTGATACTTTCCTTTATTTCCTTAGACATCCATGGCTGGCTCTCTCTTTTCCTACAGTTCTTCCTTATCACTGGAATATACTCCTGCTGAACTCTGTGAAAAATCGTTTTGAAAGTCCTCGACTGTTCCTCAATTGGCCCACCATAAAGTTTTTGCTCCCATTCTACCTTAGCTAACTCCTCCCTCTTTCCTTCATAGTCTCCTTTAAGCACAGGACATAGGTACTGGATTTAACTTTCTCACGCTCCATCTGCATTTTAAATTTAACCATACTGTGATCGCTCCTTCCGAGAGGATCGCTAACTGTGAGATCATTAATTATTCCTGTCTCATTACACAGGACTAGATCTAGGATAGCTTGCTCCCTCGTAGGTTCCATTACATATTGTTCAAGGAAATTATCGCGGATGCATTCTATGAACCCCTCCTCAAGGCTGCCATGACCGACCTGGTTTGACCAATCGATATGTAGATTAAAATCCCCCATGATAATTGCTGTACCATTTTTACATGCATTAGCTATTTCTATGTTTATTGCCCGCCCCACCATGATGTCATTATTTGGTGGCCTATAGACCACACCTATCAGTGACTACTTCTCCCTGCTATTCCTAATTTCCACCCAAATGGATTCAACGTTTTGTTCAGTCGAACCTATATCATCTCTCACTACCACCCTGATATCATCCTTAAAAATCAGAGCAACACCACCTCCCTTACCTTCCTGTCAGTCCTTCCAAACAGTTTGATACCCCTGGATATTTAACTCCCAGTCATGACCATCCTGTAACCATGTCTCTGTAATGGCCACTAAATCATACCCATTTGCCATGATTTGCACCGTCAACTCATCCACCTTGTTTCGAATGCTCCGAGCATTCAGATAAAGTGCCCTTATGCCAGTTTTTGCACCTTCTTTTTGGGTCCTATTACCTCCATTACTAACAGCTCTTGAGTTCTCCTTCCCTTTAACTTTTTTCCTAATTTTCAATGGAGTTGAAGCTTCCTCGTCACCTGCTGCTTTGCCTTACATTAATTGTTATTCTTCCTCTACACTCACTTCTCCCTTCCCCCCTACTTACTAGTTTAAAGTCCTCTTAACCACTCTATTTACCCTTTTCGCCAGAACACTGGATCCGGCCCTGTTCAGGTGGAGTCCATCCCAGCGGTATAGATCCCTCCTGTCCCAGAACTGATGCCAGTGCCCCATGAAAAGGGAACCCTCTTTCCCACACCACTCTTTTAGCCATGTGTTTACTTCCCTGATCGTCGCCTCCCTATGCCAATTTGCACATAGCTCGGGCAGCAATCCAGAGATTATGACCCTTGAAGACCTGTTTTTTAATTTTGTTCCTAGCTTTTCATAATCCCGAAACAGGTCTTTTTTCCTAGTCCTGCCTATGTTGTTGGTACCTACGTGGACCACAACAACTGGATCCTCCCCCTCCCTCTCTAGTATCCTCTCAAGCCGGTCAGAGATGTCTTGCACCCTGGCAACAGGCAGGCAACACACCATGCGGGACTCTCTATCCTGCTCGCAAAGGATACTGTCTATCCCCCTGATGATGGAATCCCCTACAACTACAATCGGTCTTTTTGTTTCCCCCTCTTGAATGGCCTCCTGGGCCATGGTGCCATGGTCAGTTGACTCATCCTTCCTGCAGCCCTGTTCCTCATCCACGCAGGGAGCAAGTGCCTCATACCTGTGGGACAATGTCAAGGGCTGCGGCTCCTGTGTTCCTGTCTGCAGGGTCCCTCTACCTGCCTCACTCGCAGTCACACACTGCTTTCCCTGCCAGCTGATCGAATTAACATTAGTTAATCTACCAGGTGTGACTGCCTCCTGGAAAATGAAGTTTCCTTTTAAATATTTATACTGAGTTCTTCAGATTTTTTTTAAACACTTGCTCAGAGATGTTAGGACACAGCCCTGGAGTAGGATAGGGCTTGAACCAAGGACTTCTTCGCTCAAAGGTAAAGACACTACCTCTGTGCCATAAGAACTGGGGTCCCACAAGAAGCAGGTGTAGCAGGTTTGATTAGTAGCTTGTTGGCTATCCTGGGGCACAAAGAACTAGGAGAAGGTCAGAGATACAGCTTCAGTTTTCCATCTGATCTAGTTCAAAAAGGCACGTACTGAGATTAATACTAATGTTTCAGATGGAAATGGAACCAACCCCCATTTCAATTCACCATGAAGATTGTTCATCCTTGTGAGCAAAATATATCAATTGGGCTGTACATAACCTGGGACTGATCCACTATCACCAGCTACCTGCCTTGGGGGTAGAATGTGAGAGTTCACCCCCTTGAGTGTTATGGTGCCATAATTAGGAACTAAAGATGAACCTGACCCTGATTCATTGTTTAAATATAAAGTCCATGCTGAGATGGATTACATAGATTGATGATTACTGGGATCCCTGCAGAGACTTCAGAGTGCCTGAACTCTGAACTCACTGTGAACTTTCTTTAGGGATCCCCACAAAGTTTCACTTACCGTAGATAGGGTGCACTGGTCCAAGTCAGTGCCAAACAGCACCACATCCTTAACAAACACAGCAATGGCTCTCATAATGAAGGAAACAAACAGGTTCATGTGGATATAGTTCCTGGTGCAGTGGAGCTTTCTGTGTCAAAGACAGTTAAAGAAGTGTTAAGTTAAAGAAGTGTTATAAATAAATAAAATGCCTTAAGTTGAGAAGCCTCCAATCTGTTTTTCATCTTCTAATCTAATCTCTCTATATTCCTATAAACCAAACTTTCCCACCAACTCTCTGAAGTGAACTTTCCCACAGTATCCCTTAATGCTCTCCCTATTAGCATTGTGGCTCAACCCACAGCAGGTGAACTGCAGTGGTTCAAGAAGGCAGCTCACTACCACCTTCTCAAGGGCAACTAGGCATGGGCAATAAATGCTGGCCCAGCCAGCAATGCCCACATTTCACAGATGAGTAAATAAATTTTTAAAAATCCCACCATATCTCTCAATCCCACCATATCCCTCAATTCTGCCTCTCTACCATAACCCTCAGTCCCAACATATCCTTCAATCCCATCAGATCCATTTCCTTTGATCCCACCTTCCAATCTTCCTGGCTCAGGAAACATTCGTAAATTGACCCTGAGAATTTACAGGGTTTGACAAAGAAGAAAAGAAGGTCTGGGGCATGGGGAGGCTAGAGGGTTTGCAAGTGGGAAGATGTCACGGGGTCGGGGCTGAGGAAGAGGTCATGGGAGAGAGAGGTTATGGACAAGTGAGGTGATTGTGGAGAGTAGTTCTGGGGGATGGGAGTTGTGGGTAAAGGAGGTTGGAGGGGGAAGGGAGGAATTGAAGAGGGAATTTTCAGGGAAAGAGATTGCATTAGAGTGAAGAGGCATAGGTGATAGGTTGGCAATAGGGGTTAAGGAGAAGATCCTGCTGCCCCAGAAGATACGTCGAAAAACCTTTAGTTGCTGGAACTCACAAGTCTTCACTTTCTTTAGCTGTTAGGTTTATTGTGAAATGCAGCCCACAGCCATTGAACTTAAATAGCTGTTAGAACATGAGGTACCCAGCTTCTCAAACAAATTATAACAATTGACCTGCTGTTCTACAGTGGGTTATTTGGAAATTGCAAAATCTGCCAAAGTTAAGTCAGAATTTGATGCATTGTTGGCAGCTTAGGGTTAAGTTTCATCTTGTTACCATTTTGACTAACACCCCATTCTCCTATTTGTTGGAGGATGTTAAAACTTACACTGTCTCCCCCCACTCCCAATAATTTTTGGAATTTGTGCACGGAGCCTAAAGAGATAGGAGAAGTCCTTAATGAATACTTTTCTTCGGTATTCACAACTGAGAGGGACCTAGTTGTAGAGGAGGACAGTGTGAAACAGGCTGGTAGGCTAGAGGAGGTCACTGTTAGTAAGGAAGATGTGCTAGGAATTTTGAGGAAGTTGAAGATAGAAAAGTCCCCCGGGCCTGATGGGATTTATCCAAGGATTCTATGGGAAGCGACGGAAGAGATCGCAGGACCTTTGGCGATGATCTTTTTGTCCTCACTGTCCACAGGTATAGTGCCAGAAGATTGGAGGGAGGCAAACGTCATTCCCTTGTTCAAAAAAGGGAATAAGGATAACCCTGGAAATTACAGACCAGTTAGTCTTACGTCAATGGTGGGCAAATTATTGGAAAGGGCTCTGAGAGATAGGATTTATGATCACTTGGAAAGGCACAGTTTGATTCGTGATAGTCAGCATGGATTTGTGAGGGGTAGATCATGCCTCACAAACCTTATCGAATTCTTTGAAGAGGTGACCAAACACGTGGATGAAGGTAGAGCAGTGGATGTGGTATACATGGATTTAAGTAAGGTGTTTGATAAGGTTCCCCATGGTAGGCTCATTCAGAAGGTAAGGAGGCATGGGATAGGGGGAAATGTGGCAGATTGTCTTCTAAGGGTCAGCCAATTCTGAATCCAAAGGGTGGTAGTGGACGGAAAATATTCAACATTGTGCTCAGTTACGAGTGGTGTACCACAAGGATCTGTCCTGGGTCCTCTTCTATTTGTGATTTTTGTAAATGATTTGGATGAAGGAGTGGAAGGGTGGATTAGTAAGTTCGCGGACGATAAGAAGGTGGGTCGAGTTGTGGATAGTGCAGAGGGCTGTTCTAGGTTACAAAGGGACATTGATAGGATGCAGATTTGGGCTGAGAAGTGGCAGATGGAGTTTAACCCTGAAAAGTGTGAGGTGACAAGGTGTAGAGCTGGATGAACACAGCAGGCCAAGCAGCATCATAGGAGCAGGAAGGCTGATGTTTCGGGCCTAGACCCTGCTTCAGAAATGGGGGAGGGGAAGGGGGTTCTGAAATAAATAGGGAGAGAGGGGGAGGCAGATAGAAGATGGATAGAGGAGAAGATAGGTGGAGAGGAGAGAGACCGGTCAAAGAGGCGGGGATGGAGCCAATAAAGGTGAGTGTAGGTGGGGAGGTAGGGAGGACGGACAGGTCAAGGGGGCGGGATGAGGTTAGTAGGTAGGAGATGGGGGTGGGGCTTGAGGTGAGAGGAGGGGAGTAGAATTGTGAGTTCAGGTTGTGGATCCTACGAAGAATAAAAAACAGGAGAGGTCCTTTGCAGGTCTGGGAGAGGGAGGCTCTGAGCTGGGGTAGGCTTGATCGTAGTGCCAGGAGATGCCTGCGCATTGCTGCGAGTGTGTGTTTCAGGAGTCACAGGGAGAAATGCTTCTGAAGGGTCTCAATGTTCTGAATGTGAGGTGATTCATTTTGGAAGGAAAAACTTGAAAGCAGAATACAGGGTTAATGGAAAGTTTCGTTGCAGAGTGGAGGAGAAGGATCTTGGGGTTCATGTCCACAGTTCCCTGAAAGCTGCCACCCAGGTGGATAGAGTTGTTAAGAAGGCGTATGGTGTGTTAGCTTTTATTAATAGAGGGATTGAGTTCAAGAGCCGTGAAGTTATGCTCCAGCTATACAAAAGCCTGGTTCGGCCACAGCCGGAGTATTGTGTCCAGTTCTGGTCACCTCATTACAGGAAAGATGTGGAAGCATTGGAAAAGGTGCAGAGGAGATTTATCAGGATGTTGCCTGGAATGAAGGGAAGGTCTTACGAGAAAAGATTGAGAGAGCTAGGGCTTTTCTCTTTAGAACGATGAAGGATGAGAGGTGACTTGATAGAGGTGTACAAAATGATCAGAGGTATAGATAGAGTGGACAGCCAGAGACTTTTTCCTAGGTTGGAGGTAGCTATTACGAGGGGGCATAGTTTTAAAGTGAGTGGAGGTAGATATAGGGGAGATGTCAGAGGTAGGTTCTTTACTCAGAGAGTGGTCGGGGTGTGGAATGCATTGCTGGAGAGGGTAGTGGAGTCGGCCTCATTAGGGGCATTTAAGCAGCTATTAGATAGGCATATGGATGATAGCATAAGGTAGGGGTGGAGGTTAGATAGACCTTAGGATTGGGGTAGAAGTTTGGCACAAACATTGTGGGCCGAAGGGTCTGTACTGTGCTGTACTGTTCTATGTTCTATATCAGCATTTATTTTCAGAAGATTGCAACAAACACTTTTTGCTTCAGTTGGAATGCCACCTTTACTGTAGATATTGACAGTACATTGTCACGAGGGTCAAGTTGCAGTTAATTACAGATGGATCAGAGTGGACATCTTGAAGACATTTGATGACTTTAATGAAACACCAAGTGAAGGGAAGAATATCATTTTGTATTAATAATGGTGACTCACTTCAATCTCAAATGCTAAAGTGAAGGAGAGTGCATGTGATGAGTTTTATTTAAAATTCCCTTCAACAGCAAGCAAATAATAATTTTGTCACTGTTTTTCCCTGTTGGGAAAACAAGAACAAAGTCAATTTAATTATCAGCATACAGACTCTTGAATAAAGTTTCCTTCCCTCTTGCTCCAGTGATGCCAATTATGAAGAATGTTCCATATCAAAGAGCAGCTCCATAGAAAATTAAAGCTTCAGACTGCCCTTGGAAATGCTTTGAGAACTACTCAATTCAAGAGATTGTTAACAGAGTGAGAAATTTTGTTTTAAATTACCCCTGTGGCCAAGATACATCTTTCCTTTGCAAATATAAAACAAAAATCAATAAAAAATCAGCGCAATACAAGTGAATGAATTTTCTGAAACCAAATCCTAATTTGGAGATGAATGAAATATATTGACAACGCAGTTAAGCTTCATGTGTTAAACATATCAATGAGAAAGCCAGTACTCACAATGATAGATGAATGAAAATCCAGATGCCAACTCAGTCATTCTTATATGAAGATGGGATATGACATGAAAATATGTAAGAAATACTTAGTTCACAAATTATTGCAAAGAGGATCTAACAGTGTAAACAATACAATTTAAATTGGCAAAATGCACATCATATTAGATTATGGGAAACATACTGCTCAAGGGAAATACATGGCTCACATCATCCTTTCGGAAATTGAACAGTTCATATGATTCAACGACAAGCTGCAGAGACCTAGGAGGTAATGTTCTATTGTACATGCTGCCCTTCTGTTGCCTGGGCTGTGATGTCGCTTCAAAGATTCCTGTTGTAACTTCACCATTGCAAGTGAAAATACTTGGGCAACTTCTTATCAGGCATTCAGAAGTTTAGTTTGAAACCATTTATATCTGTGTGATAGAAGCACATAGATGTAATGTGGCTGAGTGTGGATGAGCAGATGTTGTGGCCTACAGTCCCCTGTCTTATGCAGGGAGCAATGAGTGGGAGAGTTGTACATAGTTTAAGCTAAATCTGTATCACCTGTTTAGAGTTTCATGTAGGTACCTTATGCGAACATACACAACAAAGTGTGGAGCTAGAGGAACACAGCAGGCCAGGCAGTATCAGAGGAGCAGAAAAGTTGACTTTTCAGGTTGGGATCCTTCTTCAGAAATGGGGGAGGGGGAAGGCAGCTCAGAAATACATACAGAGAGGAGGGGTGGGGCTGGGGAAGGTGATCGGTGAGTGCAGGTAGGCAGTGGTGGGGATTGGTCAGTGAGGTGGGAGAGAAGATGGATAGGTTGTGTCAGGTCAAGGAGGTGGAGATGAGAGGAAGGGTTGAACATGGGATGAGGCCTTCTCCAGTGTCACAATGATAACACC